TGGAATTGGCGGCAGTCGTGTTTGCTCTGAAGTGTTGGAGACACTACTTGTATGGTGAGAGATTCGAGGTGTTCTTGGATCATAAAAGTCTCAAATACCTTTTCTCCCAAAAGGACTTGAACAATAGACAGAGACGATGAGTTGAGTACTTGGAAGATTACAACTTTGATTTGCAGTATCATCCAGGTAAGGCAAATGTGGTAGTTGATGCCTTAAGCCAGAAATCTCGTGGAACTTTGGCTAGTTTGGCTATTCGGAAGTGGAAGATGCTTAAGGATCTGGCAGAGATGGGATTATAGTGTTTTGGTGATGATGTTTACAGTAAGTCGGGGTTCTTATTTAGTCTTGTGGCTCAGTCTACTCTTGTTGTACGAGTGATTGAGTCACAGAGACAGGACCCTAATTTAGATGTCATTCACGCTTTGATCTCTAGTGGTGAGACAGTGAAAGATTGGACCTTACATGCAGATGCGGGTCTACAGTTCAGGGGTTTGTTAGTAGTTCCCACATGTTGTCGTGAGGACATCCTACGGGAGTTTCACACTTCCCGCTTTGCAGTTCATCCAGGTGGTACCAAGATGTATCACAATTTGAGACGTCAATATTGGTGGAACGGGATGAAGAAAGATGTTGCACAGTTTGTGGCTAGATGCCTTACCTGTCAATAGGTGAAGGCCGAGTATCAGAGACCAGCCGTTTTGTTGCAACCATTACCTGTAGCGCAATGGAAATGGAAGCATATTGCTATGAATTTTGTGACAGGTCTTCTAAGGTCACGGAGAGGCAATGAGGCCGTATGGGTCATCATTGACAGATTGACCAAGACGGCTCACTTTTTGCCTATTAAGGCAACAGATGATGCGGAGAAGCTTGGTGTACTTTATGTGAAAGAAATTATAAGGTTACATGGAGTTCCTGTAACCATTCTGTCAGATAGGAATGCTAAGTTCACTTCGAAGTTCTGGGAAGGACTTCAAGCAGCGTTTGGTTTAGCGTTGCATCTTAATACGGCATTCCATCCACAGACAGACGGTCAGTCGGAGCGGACTATCCAGATTTTGGAGGATATGCTTCGAGCATGTGTGCTTGACTTGGGTGGTAGTTGGGAGGATCACCTTCCACTTATTGAGTTTGCCTACAACAACAGTTATCAGGCGAGCATTCAGATGGCTCCATTTGAGGCGTTGTATGGTAGACCTTGTAGGTCTCCTGTGTTGTTGGAATGAGGTGGGTAAGACCGCCCCCTTAGGACTCGACATAGTACTCGAGACTACTGAGAAGATTAAGCTGATCAGACAGAGGCTACTTACAGCTCAGAGCCGACAGACGAGTTATGCGGATAAGCGGAGACGGCCGTTATCCTTTGAGGTGGGAGACCACGTTTTTCTTCGGGTTTCTCCACGGAAGGGATTGATGAGATTTGGGAAAAGTGGCAAGTTGTTGCCACGATTCATTGGACCGTTTGAGATTTTAAACCGTGTAGGAAAAGTTGCCTATATATTTGCTTTGCCACCACAGTTGGATAGGGTTCACAATGTTTTCCATGTATCGATGTTACGGAAGTACGAGCCAGATCCATCTCACATTTTGAGTTGGGTTGATGTAAACATTGATGAGGATGTTTCCTACGAGGAAGGACCAGTTCAGATTCTTGACACACAACAAAAGGTGCTGAGGAACAAGACGATACCAATGGTGAAAGTCCTTCGGAGATGCCACGGAGTCGATGAGGCTACTTGGGAGCTCGAACAGAAGGTTCGCTCCAGGTACCCAGAGTTGTTTTCTTCCCCAGGTATGACTTGATTTCGAGAACGAAATCCTTTTAAGTTGGGGAGATTGTAATATTTTCAATTTTCAGCATTTTCTATTTTTCTGGAAATTTGTGAAGACAAGGGTATTTTCGTCCTTTCTCTATTCGTCCGGGATTGTGGTTGGGTCCTGTTGCATTTTTCACATTTTAATTTATGTGAATTATGTGACAATTTTATGGTGATGTGTATTATTATTTGTGTGGTGTAGATAATTGAAGCATAAAGATAAAGCAAAAAGAAAAGCTAGTGGCGGGACCCGCCACTCACACCACAAAAGGTCTAGAGACCATTTATATATTTTTTTTTTGCTCCATCTTTCTCTCTCCCCGCTGAACTCTATCTTCTCTCTCAGTTTCTTCTTTTTTCTTTTATTTTTAGAACCAAAATTGGGATCTTGATTCCTTCTTCATTTCTTATCGGAATTGAGTGCCGTTTGAGGCAAAACGACGAGCACGACGAGCTCTACGTGCTAGTACTAGAAATTCCAACTTTTGGTCCTCTTTGGGAGCTTGAATTTAAGAACCCATTTCTAGGGATTTTGCTCATTTTGAGGTAGGGGCATCTTAATCCACTCCTTTCTTATTCTATTGTGAATTACACCTCCTTCTTATGTCAAACATGTTTAATTGGGAGTTAATTATATCTATGATTGTATGAATGATGTCTAGAGAATTTTCAAGATCTTGAATATGACTTGTTTCATGTGTAAAGTATGTTTGAATGTTGTTTTTATCATACCTACTATGTGTTTACATGCTGAAAATGACTAATGAGAACATGTTTATTTAGATTGTGCCAAATTTCCCATTGTCATAATATTGAGATTATATGTACATCCATGCACATGTCATTGGGATGCATGAAATGGGAGAATTTGTCTTGAAATGAAAATGGGGGAAATTTTAGGAGAAGAGTTTTGTGAAATAGTTTTGATAAACCCGGTCGCTGCAGGGTTACCAACGGGCCAGAGGTTAATATAGCCTAGAGGAGACTAGGGAGTCGCCCTAGCGTGGTTGAGCTATTCGGGCCCCTCGATGACGCTGCGGGGTTACCAAAGGTCTAGGGACGATAGTCAATCCTCCTCTCGTGTCACGGCGGGGTTACCAAAGGGTAGGCTGTATTAACATTTAAAAGTGATGGCTTTGTGAATGAAAATGGGGAGTGACATTAGCATGCATTGCATTTCATTGCACTGCATGGTTTATAATTGGAATTGACGTGTATATTGTTTTAATTCCCTATATTGCATGATCCCTATTTCTCATTGGCCTATGCTTTGTTTGGATTCACAAAGACACAAGAATTGTGTCTTAAGTGTCACCTACTGAGATTTATGCTCACCCTATTATTTAATAATTTTTTTCAGGAAACGGGAAAGAAGTGGCGGATGACATTCTACCACAGACTTAGTATGGATTAAGAGCTTATTTTGTTGTTCTTGTACTTAGGCCTCACTATTTTTGTAAGACTAAGCATAATGTATTTTGTACGACGACTAATGGACTTTTAATATTATAATCGTACCTATGGGCCGTAACTTTTGTATGAGCTGTCTAAAAGTTGTAAAATATGGGCATTGAAATTAATCTTGTATTTTGGGACTGTAATTATGCTATCTGGATGATATAGTACGTGGTTGTACCACTATGGAATGCATTAAATTAAGGTATGATGAATGGATGAAAGGGATGCTGGAATATATATTTTATGTTTATTGTGCTGGGACAGGTTAAAAAATGTATTTAAACAGACTGTGGTAGGCCCATTTTTAGGGGGGGGTCATGCCGATTTTTTTTTAAATGGTATCAGTTTAGGGTCGTTACAAGCTAGATACAGCCAATGTTCCCTGGTAGGTCTAGGTACTTGGCCGCTGGAAAGCGTATTTTATATGTCACCTTCTACCCAAGCTGAACTATGTTATAGGCTAGTGAGCATCCTATAGTGTGTGTGTATATATATATGGACTATTTTAGATATTGCCGAGCTATCTAGGATGTATCTGCGTATCGAGTTTATGTACGCATTGTAGTAGGATAGAACTTGCATGTGGGCCTGACCCACCTTTATTTTTCAGGTGCTCGTGAGTACCAGGCTTAGGGCTTGATCGTGGTGATGCAGATACAGTCACTCACTCTTCCGACTACATAGGATTTCCTTTCTTATTCTAGCTTTGGATTTTAATTTTGTAAATTTATTTATAGTATGGGATTATTAGGGGTCCACTAGTTAGATTCCCGAGTTGTACGGATTTGGAGGATTTAAATGATATTAATTTATTGTTTAAAGTTTGAGGTTTTTTATTTTAGATTTCTTTCAGCGCATTATTATTTTATTCTTAATTCAGTTTTTATTCTTACTTGTTTACATATTAATTGTTTGGTATCCCTCGGATCTGTGCCCGGACTTGATCATCCGTGGCTCTAGAATAGAGGGATATCACACTTTTTTATTTTTAAATTAAGATACTTGATACTTTCGTCTAAAAAAATTAAACCAATCTCTTTTCCTTAAAAATAAAAAATATGGTACCAGTATAACTTTATGCATCTTAAATTATATATCAAATATTATGTGTTTCCCAACATAAAAGAAAATAGGTACCAGTATAACTTTATGCATCTTAACTTTTATGCATGCCTTCCCCCCCCCCCCCCCCCCCTCTTTTGTTTTATTATTATTTTTTTCCCTTTGTTTTATTTATATTGGGAAATGTATAATATTTGATATATAATTTAAGATGCATAAAGTTATACCGGTACCATATTTTTTATTTTTAAGGAAAAGAGATTGGTTTAATTTTTTTAGATGAAAGAATTAAGCATCTTAATTTTAAAATAAAAAAGAAAAAGAAAAGAAATAATAACAAAATATAATTTACTTGAAATATATGTATTGGATCAAAAAATCATTTTAAACGTCTACATTTATTAGAAGTTGGGACATTTATAAAGTAAATAACCAAAAAATAATAATAATAATAATAAATAAAAATAAAACAAAGTGAACAATATAAATTATTATTATTTTTTTTTATGCATAAATTGTTCATGAGAGTATATTGGTTCAATTTATTAAATTATAAACTTAAAAAAGTCTCATAAACAGTCAAAGGGTAATTTGGTCAATTTTTCACATAAAGAGGTGTATTTGCCCATTTTTGAACCTTCAGGGGGTGTTTTTGTTCAAAAAACAGGTAAGTTTTCTCTGAGTGTTCTTTTGCCAAACCTCAAGAGATGTGACTGTACTTTACCCTAGACTTGTAGTAAATTTTATGCAAAATTTAGTAATATTGTTAACGCCTGCTTTTACTTTCAATTGAAATTTGAGACTAAAACAAGGATCGGTATGAATCTAATAAAAATTGATAAGTTTGTAGGTCTAATAGAAACTGAGCCAATAACTCAACTGGTATACCTCTCATCCAGCGGAAGAAAAGGTGGGGGTGCAATTGCTATAGTGGGTTGCTTGTGAGTTTAAAAATAAATAAATAAAAGAAAATTAATAATCAGATTAAATAGAAGGAAGAAGTTGACCTGAAAAACTTCGAATGTCATTCCAACAAGACTTAACCGGAAGATATGCCTGGGTAACAAAGTAAAAAAAAAACAAAAAATTCAAAAAGAGAGACCTAGTCAAACAAATCAAATTCGATGGGACAAAGGACAAAAGTGAGTTTTCCTTTTATGTGCTGCATACTAATACAACCTACACTTCTAACACTAATTTTTTTGCGCTACATTGTCATATTGAATTTTTTTCATCGTCAAGTTTAGTAGTGACCTCTTGAAGGACAAAAATTCTCAATCTTGTAGAAGTAAAATTCGAGTCTTGGTAGAATCTTACACATATTTCTAGCACCTGGTCACGCGTACCAAACCGTATAATTTTTTTCATCTGTGCGCTTTTCAGTTATTACAAGTATGAAAAATGAACAACCAAACAATTCTGTTAACATTAAAACTACATGAAGGTTGCAAAAGTATGCAACATTCATCCAATTATGTTCTCAATTAAATGGTACAACTGAATAATCAGTTCATATTATTTAGGTTGAAGCAGCTGCAGTGCTAGGCATGGTGTGAAGACCTCTACCGGTACCATCTCTGCCACGCCTGATGCCTATCTGATGGTGATCAGGTTCTCTCTTCTTTCCACTCAGCCTTCTTTGGGCTTCATTCGTATGGCAGCCTGACTCAGAGAAACCATGCCTCCGCAAGCCTAATTGACTCCGAACATCCTCACTGGCATTGGACCTCGACGCTGTCCAACAATTGGTTGAGTCAGCTGAATTGGGCTCCCAGGAAGACGAAGAAACCCAATGTTGTTGACCCCCCACAAAGCTGTTGCTACCTGAGGATTCTTGCTCTTCTATATCCCCCTCTTCCACCATGCCCCTTCTCACAGTCACATAATTGTGAAAACTCGGCTCCATTAGATCATCAGCAACAACTTCAGATTCTGCAAAAGGGTCTTTTGTATCTAGTCTTCTCTTCCCAGCAGGATTGGCTCCAGAAGAAAATTTGTGACTATGCTTATTGAATTGCTGAGACATGGGGCTTCTTTTGCCATCAGAGAGAGTGCAGGACAGATTGGAGCTGGTACAAGAGTTGAGGTCCGCGACTGCTTCTAAGATGGAGCAGGCCTTGGTAACACAAGGTGGGAGCGAAAACGTCATGGTGGTGGTGGTGGTGGTGGTGGTGGTGTTCTTTTGATGGAAGTTTTGGATATCTTCCAGTAATAGTGCAGTGTAGGACGGATTAGGATTCAATAGAGCTTCAGGATTGAGGTCTAGCTCCCGGGATCGCCTAGAGGACCTACTTCTTGTTAATATTTGGGGTTTAAGGCTTTCATTTCCTTTAGCCTCTTCCACTATTTCCCTTGATTTGCAATCCAGAGTGAGAACATTGTCCAGAGCACCTTTGCCATTGCTGGTTTTGTTTTCAAACCCTTGAACAACCACTTTATTATTGCTTTCATTCTCAACCATTTGCTTCTGCACTGGAGTCTGCAGTATTATTGATTCATGTCAAATAACAACAACTATATCTAGCACAAGAAACAGAAGTAAACTAGTACCATTTTGCTAATCAAAGCAGTTCAGGTAACAATTGACACAAGAAAAACTTGTAGATGTTCCTAATGGATGGCAAAGGAGTGTAATAACTCTTCATAGAGATGCAGAATATAATTGAACAACCAATGGGCCATTAGTCCAGTGGAATAACCTCGAGGGAGGTTTGGGTTTCAAGCCCCCTAGTGAGTACTTATCTAACCAAAAAATAAAAATAAAAATTGAATTGAACAATTAAGTAGTACCTGAAGTAGAATGTTGCTGTTGTTGTTATTGGCAGACTTGTGGCTGGGTGGTACATTTGCATCAATCTCACTCAAAGGGGTTCTTCTGTAAGGGGAATGTTCAGCCTTCCTCGAATTGCTGCGACTAAGGGACAATGGCTGTTGTAGGTGTTGATTGAAATGGGCATTCTGATTGTCATTAGCAACACCAGCATTTGCCCTTGCAGGGGACCGAGAACGAGGCGACGCTGCCCCGGCATTTCTCTTCACCGAAATCCTTCTAATGGTAGCACCAGACAGAGGCTCTGCACCCCCACCACCGCCATTATTGCTCTTATCCATTGTCAAGGAAGAAACTGTAGCAGGGACAGAGACCATCTTTCCAGGTCTAGTACAAGTGCCACTAGCATTGGCATTGGTAGTACTAATTGGTGATTCAGATCTTCTGCCCGGAGACCGACTCACCCTTCTCCCACCACCACCGCCGCCGCTGCCCCCTCTTTCTCTGCTGCCAGACCTCTGCTGCTCCTGTTGCTGTTGGTCTCTTTCCCTGCTGGGAGTCCTCCTCCTCCCATTGGACGGAGAAGAACCCGCCCTTGATTGGCGCTGGCGTTGCCGGTGGCGGTGGATTCTCTCTGCCGCCGCCATCCCATCACCACCAACACCATTGTCATTGTAATTACCTTCTTCAATTTCATTGCCTTTCTCCGTATCGCAGTCAAAATCATAACTCCTCTTTGAACCAGAGTACTTTCCGCCACGGTGGGGATTGCTCGTGTTGTCAGATCCACCACCGGAAGCAGCCTTGCCGGTGGACGAACTCCGGCTGAGCCGTCCACACTGTATCAAAATAGCATCCACCTCTTCTTTTGTGCAGCTTGAGGTCCTAACTATGACACTTCCATTCCCCAATCCTCCATTCATCACATTGCAGCTAACCCCATTGTTACCGATTTCGATTTCTTCAGATGTAGCACTCGTAATAGAATTAGAACAAGTGGCCTTCTGATTTCCTCCGAGTTTTTCTTCTTCAGATCGCCGATCAAAGTCGTGGCTGTGGTTTTTCCGATGCTTTATGACAAATATTTCCTTCTTCACAGTTGTTTCCTCCGCCTTCTTCTTCTTTTCTACATCTGTATTGGACTTGCTTGGATCTGGTGGCTCTGGAATTGCACTAGCTGAAGAACAACTAGCGCATTTCTTGCTTAAACAACTACCCATTTCTTAGAGATATAGAGAGAACCGTTACAGAGAAGGGACTAGGAGTGAACGAAGATTGTGTGAGAGAGAGAGAAGAGTACAGTAGTACTCCGTTGGAGATAAGGTAAAAGGGTTAAATGTCCGAGAAACCCATTCTATTTAAAATTGTAAAGTTTCGGGATTTTAAGAAAGAGAAAGCAATTCAAATTTTTTGACAATTTGGGCGGGAAATCGGTCAATAGAGACGTTAAGATGGGCTTTTCAAAAACCAGTGTCAGACCCACCTAATCTAATCTTTACATCATCATAGTTTCCCTTATGCACTAGTACTGCTATATTGTTAAAGCTTTGTACCATTAGATTTTGAATTTACTTAATGGTCAACTTTAAGACATTGCTGAACAACAGACTTTGTTCTTCAATTTGGGTAAGATCATATTTTAGTATGAATGTTTATCGTGTATAAATGCAACATCATCATTTGCCGGTGCAAATGCAACATCATTTGCCAGAACTAGGGCTGCAAGTTGTGTTGGCTCAACCCAGCCCAGTCCCAACCCAACCTCAACCCGAATCGGGTTGGGTTGGGCTAACCCGAATTGTAAATGCAACATCATTTGTCAGAACTAGGGCGTTGGGTTGGCCCAACCCAGCCCAGTCCCAACCCAACCTCAACCCGAATCGGGTTGGGTTGGGCTAACCCGAATTATATTTAACATGAGTCATGATCATAACCCAACTCGAAATTTTTTGAACGGATTGGGTCGGGTTGACGGGTTAAAAACTTTTTTTTTTTAATTTTGGAAATTTATATATATATATATTTGATTATATTATTATTAAAACAAATTATATATATATATATATTATATATTTTATTTAGGGCAAATCATTTTAGCTTCCCCAATCGCCTCTCTGAACTTGCCTCCGCCCCCTCTGTCTCTTTTTCTCTGCAACAACTGCAAACTACAAAATCTACAAGAATCAGAACTTCAAAGACCATATACTTCAATTTCATCTATCTGTCTGCAACAATCAAAAGTTCAAAACCCATATCGGCATATCATTTCAGATTGTTCAAAAAATCAAAACCAAATCTTTCAGTTTCATCGCCGGCTGTTCCAGATCGGGTTCGCCGTTCGCAAAGCTTCAACCGCTGTCTCTCAACTCTCAAGCTGGCCCCCCTCTCTGCAACTGCTAACTTTTTTTTGGGTAAATCTGCAACTGCCAACTTGAATGTACGGGGACGGTAGAGAGAGAAAGAAGAGAGATAGAGAGAGAACGGAGAAAAAAAAAAAAAGAATATTTTTTTATTTTTGGGTTCGGGTTGAGCTCGAGCCCAACCCGAATATGTCTGGGTTTTGACAAAACCCAACCCGATTTGTAAACTCAAAGTCCAAATTTCAAATTTTCGGGTTGGACTGGGTTAACCCGCCCAAGTTGCAGCTCTAACCAGAACACAAAATGAAGGAGCTTGTATATGTCAAACCACACCTTTTCTTTAAGAGAGAGAAAATCTGATCAAGAAGAAAAACAGTACGTCTCTGTCGTACCGCACAGAATCTTTCGCTGTAACAAGGGATATGTTCTACAGCCATGTTTACCAAGCAGGCGTAAATATTAAAATCACAACCTTTTCTTTTAAGAGAGAAAAAAATCTAAAAAGATTATACATGTGGTGACAGTCTATACCATACATGTGAGAATAAACCAAAAAAATATCATTATTCCCTCTTCTCTTTTTTTCCTTTCATATTTAATTAACCTATTGTCGTGCGGATGAAGTTCCATATTCTGACCCCCTCAAAATTTTGAATGAACCAACAATTCCAACGGTTTTTTCTTTTTCACCAAGACTCGACAAAGCCAGCTCTCTGAAATGACATTTCATCCCGTAAGAGTTTGCTAGGAATTGACTGCAAACTCGAAAGAACTAAAATTGAAAGAATCAAGCAATATCTGTCTGTACATCTGTTCCTAATCATTGGGATCCACTCGGTCATCCTGCTCTGACGAAGTTAATTCAGTTGTGTTGCCTTCTTCATCTGATTCCTGCAGCTCTTCTACAAATTCCATCTCATCTTCTTCTGATTCTTTCTTGCTAACAGTGTTTGATTTTGTAAGACCATGCTCCATCCATTTGGGGCACTCATCCTCCGATTGGTGATCGCCACTCTCTGCAGTTTGGGCAATTCTACAAGAGCATTCGGGAAGTGGGTGTGAAAGAAATGACCTTGGTTTTGATAGCTGAAATTCTCTCATTAGGCCCTCCACACCCAGACTTTTATTCAGATGCTCTCGCACTGATAGTGTCCAACTACGATTTGGATGATAAAGATGATCACTGGTTCTATTAAAGAGCTTAGCAAGATATTTCCTAATCAGAATACCACATAGAACAAAATCAGTGACGAAAAACGAGAGTCCAAGCAAAATATGAAAACTTTAAGGAAATGAACATCATATGTTCTTTGAGCATTTTCATATGGAATTCAAAATGGCTTAAAATTTTTTACTGCAGTAGGTGAAATAGCATGTAATAGAAAATACTAGAGATAGAGAATTCATGTGGCCGACTATTAATCAAACTATTATCTAATGGGTAAGAATAAAAAGTACAATTATGTAACTAAGATGAAACATTTTGAAACCACAGAATCAGGTCCCTACTGATAAGCAAAGAAACCTACAATTAAATAAATATTTTGGAGGATTTTTTCACCTGTCCGGTCGATATGTTCTGGCAGAAGCCACTTTGTAAAGCCGATGTCCCATGACCAAGCTTGAAAAATCTGGCCATCCACTACCATCATTGTTGAAACCAGGAAAGAATGCATCAGATTCCACCGAAACAATATAGTCAAGAGCAGCCCATAACAACCGGTGTGCTTGCCTCCTTAAATCAATCGGTGAAGGGTCTGGCTCTAAATCCTTTTCAGCAACCCAACCGTACCAACCTTCCTTTTCATGTCGATAGATGGGCCGGTCAGGAGGAGGAGGAAGAGGTCGAGGACGAGGACCAGCTTTGTCCCATTCTTCTTTTAGTTGGTTCACACTTTTGGCTGGAGGAGGCTGGAAAGGATCTAGAGGAAGTGGCATTTCTGGGCCAACTAAATTGCTTAGCTCTTTCTTGCTGCACAAAGAAGTCCGGTCCACTAAGTTGGTGTACATAGCACGTAAAGGGATCAGAACTCTTTGACCCCCAAAAGTTTCAGAACCAGCCAAGTATATTCTTGTTGTGGGAGGATAACCCAAGGCTCGAAGGAGAAGTCCAACCTACAAAGTTCCCAGGCAAAAAAATATTAGCCTTGTACCTTTAAACTGAAAACACAAACACAAATTGCCAGCTTTTAGCCTAATTATCGTAAGCAAATAATTTCTCTTAACGATTGAGCTAATGGCTTCAATTAATTAACCCATAATTATTTTCACTTTTCCTCATAATCTATTATTCATTTGGTCCATATATCCTTATTCTTGTACGTACAGAAGTCCAAACGGTGAATATGGCTAGAAGACCATAAAGCAGACCAAGGCTAACTCAAAGTTGCATAGTCCTCGTCATTTATTCTGCACTGAGTACTGGGGGGTTGGTGGGTGGCATTCTAAGGTTTAAGTAAGCATGAGCAAAAGGGAACAAAGGTTTTTGTTAATTCCAGAAACTAGGCACGAAGTGCAAGCAGTCTGAATCTCATACAAGAAGAATGCCTATTTGCAGTAACAGTACAACTGGCTCACATCTCAAATAAAAAGGAGCTGTCCAAAAATTAACAACAAACCTTAGAATGATACACACAATAGTAGCATTAACTTCCTGTGGAGTTGAGGATCTTAGACTGTGCCTTGAGACATTTCCTCAAGCATACAGTCTCAAAGCCAGGCTCCCTACAATACATCTTCTGGCAACTGTACTCAAAATTACGTTCCGTGGAGCTGTGAGAGGGGTTCAATTATTTCGGGGTGAATGTGTAAAAAACAAAGTACAGGAATCTTAAATGCATTCAGATTAGAACCCCAGGGCATAATAAATCACAATAACAAATTCCAAATTTTAACTTCAGTAGCTTGTGGTTACTGTTCTGCCTAAGATGCACGTCAATAATAAGTGCCTAATTTATATGCTTTATCCTCTGCACCTAAATGGCAAGGATACCATCTTGAAGATTTTCATTTCATACCAAGATCCAACATGTAAGAGAACTACTATTGGCTCCACCCTTATGATCCACACCAATTATGAAGTCTTAATTATTATGCCTGTTTGATGACAAATGGTCATACATGAAGTACATGATATTTCAAGTAAACAGAAATCCTTGATACAAGGGATTATTTGAGATTATTTAATATCCAGAGCAACCAATAGAAGCAACCTTCAGATTATCCAATGTCCATGATATCATTAAGAAAAAATGCAACTAACAAAAGGTTGCTCTATGCAGTGTGGAAAATACAATGTAGTACTGAAATAGATAATTTTCAAAACACTAAACTATATTACTAGATATACCTCTTCAGGCATGAGGGGGCATGACCCATTTCCTTTTTGAACATATGAATCAACACTTTGTTCTTCATTAATAATACCTTGTTTGATCATCTGTGCCCTTCGGTACTGTATAAGTTCCGTGTGGACGTCCTAGGCAAGTATGAATTAACATAATCAGATGTGCAAATAATCAGAATACAATATGTCGACGAAATGTAAGTATCAAAATCCAGTGGCATATGGACTCCAGATCTGGCAAACAAAATGCAGAACATATCAGAAATGATGAATTCTAAGAGGTTTTTTTATTTTATTTTCAGAGAAACCACTTTGTGTAATATAATGCCAAGGAATAAGTCTGCCTCCAGTACTCCATCCAGTACTCCACTCTCCTAGCACCCCGCATATGTATTGCTATAAAGTGTTAATGGCCTTCATTCTCTCAGTGTGCAAGCTTCACATAACACACTGTATTGGTTCATATATCATTGCCAAATGGGAATGAGTGCAAATGATCATTTTTCACGCTTCTTTGAATTACATATACAAGTCCATTTGAGATACTATAGATGTGATACTATCCTATTATATAATTAGAATAAACTCAAACAATGAAATGACACATATTTCGATAAGTCGCTAGAAAGAGTGTACTGAGAACTTTCCAAAATACAAGTGCAATTCAGAACCAATAGCGTACATAACAAAAATGGAATAATAAGGAAAATCGACCAACTTCAACAAAAAATAATAATAATAATGAAGAAGAAGAAAAAGGGAGAAACAGCAAGTGGTGAACAAATGCTACAGTAACAAAATTTGAAATTAACGTGTTCTTTTTGTTTGAATAAGCAAATGAAAATCTAAAAGCATCGTCGCCGTTCACAGGCCACAAAATATTGCATCACTGTTAAAGCATGTATTGCCAAAAACAAGGACAAAGGAAGAAACTCAAGAAAAAATTGACAAAAAAAAATATAATAAAAACAAAAAAGAAAAAATCAAAAAGAAAGAAGGTAATGGAAAATTTATTAAACAGTATTTCAAATATATATATATATATATATATATAAATAATTGCAGGAGACTCTAATCAATTCATGCAACAGCTGTGTTTTCCCAAAAAACATATTATTGCAGGAGACTCTAATCAATTCCCACAACAGCTGTAACAATTAACTTAAAATCAAACAAACAGAAAAAGTTTTAAATCGATGCAGAGTTTATTTCCACCAAACAAATTGGATGTAGAAATTTCACATAAGCATACACTCAATGCAATGATTGAAGATTTACCTCTTAACTGCTTTCCTATTAAAATTGTCAATCTTGCTAATAGATGATGTTTTAAATTCTTTGAGAGGGGAAAGAGAGAAATAAGGTGGAAATTGCCTTTTGTTTCCAAATCATGTGAGCAGTAATCATATCAGCCGTCATTGAATTTATGCAATCCAAAACACTGCAATATTATATTGACTCGCCTACCATTTTATTTTACAACATATAAGGGGTTACCTATCACAGTAGCAACTAATACATATATGAAAAATAATTGCTGAAAGGACACTACAATGAGGTGCTCTTAAAACGGTTTTTGAGAAGTCATACCATATCAAAAAGTGTGGACAAAATGATCACAAAGTAATTTCATTAACCAAAATATTTATCATATTGCAAAAATACAAAACTTCATTCCAATAGCCTTACTAAGGTTTTCCAAAATTTTGCTAATCCACAGGATAGAGAGACAAAAATAACCAAGACAATAAGCTTTTGTAAGTTACCTGAAAAAGCTCAGCACAACCATGATATGCTAAGGTATCTCTCATAAGACCAGGATGAAAAGCAAGATAAGGTTTGCCTGCAGCTCGTAACCTGTGAAGAAAATTATAATTCTATGATTTCATTCGAGCAGTTCAATAAAAGTGTAATGCACTAATTTTCATTTCCCAACTATCTTACTGTCACGCCATGACAAATGTATGATGACAATGCTGCAATCGCTGATCAAGAACGGAACCCAAACAACTCAAGTAATTAATGCAATCGCCTAGAAACTGAGACAGTAAATTTTGTTGCAATAGTTTCATTATCTCCAAATTATTATAAGCTGGTATCATTTTAATAACGGGAATAGATTTAACTATAGTAGATTGTGTCTCGCAGATTAGTAGATTCATACTAATAAACAATCGTTAAAAAAATGTTAATTGCATTAAAACTTGAGGCGACAATTATTTTAGTTCATCGTGGATAGGGTCACTAATGGTGACATGTTTAGAAGACGATCTTATCAAAAACATCAGGAAACATTGGAAAATCAACAACTGTTTGTTTTGTTTCAACCTTGCAACAAACGTATCAGTCAACCTAGTCTGCGAATATATTCTAATTGTCACCAAATTCCTAGCATCTTATGTGGGATGAGGGTTTCTATTCATTCTACTTCTCGAGGTATAGTAAGAAATTGAGAGGCTTGACAGTAAGGAATTTGCAGAGACATTTTATGTTGTATATGCTAATCCTTGTATCCAAGTTAGATCAAAAAATTCCTGCCTTTATGTGTGTATAATGTGTGTGAGTGAGTGAGAGAGACAGAGAGAGCAGTTTGTCTAGTATCATTTCTCCTTCATTAGTTGATACTTCAAGGAGGTTTTACCTGGAATGAAGCATGAAAAGAACTCGACACTCTTGAAGGTTTAATTATAGAATATCTTCCCAGTAAGGCTTTGATTGCATCTGAATCTTCATCTTTTTCACATTTCTAATAAGTGAAACCACACTAAGAAGGGCATCACAGTGGTGCTTGCATTATGTTCCATGTCCCAAATATTCTAATTAAAAGAAGAGCCAGTAGCAACACACACATAACTTCTTGTGAATTACTTTTCTTAAGTAGTGCCATAAGGCTCCGTTTGGTTAGATGGAACTAGCAGGAAAGAAAAAGCAACGGAATTTTTTTAACATCTTAAGAGTCTGGATAGCAGGAAAAGGAAATTTCGTGGGAAAGTAACTTTCCCCAAAAAAATCAGGAAATTTTTTCTTCTTCAGAAAGTTATATGAAATTTCAATTATACCCCCTTTTTACTCACTAAAATAAAATGTGTACATGCATAACTTTTGATAAGAATGGTATCTCACTCTAGATGTCCAACAACATTTTTATTTAGATTCTTATATTGCTTTTATTTTTTTTAAAAGATCAAAAATATTTATTCAATATAAAATTCTTTAGACCTATTGTCCTATTTAATAAAAGGTAAACTATATTTATAGTAACTTTCATACTACCTAAACCATGAAATGGTACTTTCCCACAACTTTCTTGAAAATTCATGCTAAGTAAATGAATCCTAGAAAAATTATTTTCCTTTCCTTCCCTACACTTTCTTTCACTTTCACTTTCCATTGTGGATTTCCATCTAACCAAACAAAGTCAACAGACCCTAAAGGACCATTGCTTGATGCAATGAAAAACTAATGTTGCCAAGCATGAGAATGCGAGTTCGAAGTATGAGAGACACTTGTCCAAATAATGTCAAAGTTCAGATCAGACCTGACCATGTGTAACCTCCCAGCATCGGGGATAATGGCACCTCTAATTAAAGAAACATTATAGATAAGTTAATCTTAACTGGGTTCACTTATTGATTCATTAACGTCTTTCAATCATTCAACCCAGCTTCAACCTCAATATAAATCCGAAAAAGCAACAGCCAAAAAAGTTGGAGACCTAAGTATTTGGGCAAAAACAGCAATAAAATTAAATACCTTTTAAAATTTCCAGTATATATTGTAGGAAGGCAAGGATTGTCAATATTTTGAACATGGCTACCAATAAATTCAAACTGCAAGATTTTCTTACCTTTCTACCATTAGGTGCCCAAGGGCTAGAATTTCTGGACGAAAATGAAGTGCATGAAATGCTACCCGACATCTAAGCCTCTGATACTCTGCCAAACTAGGAGGGAGGATAGGCTAGGAAGAAAACAAAGACAAGTTAGGCAGATCCTCATCTTCGTTGAGTAAATATCATGGACACACAAATAAACAACATTATAATAATACCCAATAAGAACTAAAAGCAACCATGAAAACAAAAGAAATCCGAAAAAGTAAGAGTCTGGGGTCGAGGAATGAGGATGCATCAGCGTCAATAAAGAGATAATTTCTATATGAAGTAATAGATCAACAAACAATATCTGTCGGTAGGAAAATTTAATATTCTATAGCTGCAACATAAAATTTATAACTTATAAATCTATTGAAAAAAAAAAAAAAATTTACAACATACAAATCATCTAATCAATAATCACCATGTCTACTAAAAATAAAAAATAAAAAAGTATATGTTACATATACACATAACTATCAAGACTCTCCTCCAGTGCCGCTCCTTTATAAAATTGGTGTCATACTTTATTTTTTTATTTTAAATATGGTGAATTATTGACTTTAAAACTAAATTATAATATGATGAGCATTTAATAGTTTTAGACTTCAACTTTTTCTACTTATTAAACAGTTCAATATTTAGGACCAAAATTCCAACACCATCAAATGATCAGATTTGTATATTTAGTCTTAAATTTCAGCAATTAAAATATAGATATTAAAATATTTAGAGCTTATTTTCCAGTTAAGAACAACTTAGAGGCTCTCCACAATGACCTCCACATAAAGAATAATTATTTATGGACAATATATTTTTAGAACAAAAAACTTACTAGAAAGTGATCTTAAAAAGATAACTTACAAACACAGAGAGGAAAAAAATGGTACCTGTAGGCAGCCTCCATCAGTAAGCACTAATCCAATAACCTTTGTTTTCTTTAACTTTGGTAATATTTCTTTGATATAAAAACTTGGAGAAGCTGAACTTTTGGGCTTAAAAGTTGGATATTGTTTTTGTTTTCTAGCCTCCATTAACTCTCGGGGCAGGCTCTTTACAATGATTACATCATTTGTAAGAGCTGCTATGAACTGCTCCTCATTGTAGAGATATGAAAAACTTCCAAACTTGAAACTGCAAAGTGTTTTGATAAGAGGGAAAAAAAATTAGCAGCTTACAAGACCAAAAAAAGTAAAACAATTATGGGTCATCCTTTTTTTTTTTCTTTTATCTTTTTGCTTACAAAGCGAGAAATACCTGACACCTTTTGAGTGAGTACTTTCTTGTATCTCTGGTATGACAAGGGTAGCATTCAGTAGCCTGGAGATGGTAACAAGATCACAAATCTAAAAAATTGGCAAACCCGTTACAAACTTTCAGTAGTATAGATAAAAATATAAATATCAAAGAAGATTTCAGAAAGGAAACCAACATACCGAAGTTTTTATCTTTTCAAATCCACCAAAAATTTTGGCATATATGAAACCATTATTCTGCTCAGTTGGAACTGTAAATTGCAAAGCAAGTACTTATAAGGTTTAAGAAAATACAAAGGAAAGCTCAAGTTACCAATGGAAAAAACTGAAATTTTAAAGTTTTAAACTGCTGAAAAGTTTAAAATAAGTGTCTTTGAATGAAAATCTGATAGTTTTCAAGTAAGAAAAGAGAAGGCCAAGATGTCATGTTCGAAGTTCACCATGACACTTTTTACAGTGAGGTTTTTAGAAGTACCTTACTTTATCCAAGCATGAGAATTACCTTCTCTTTATCCATAGACATGTAAAGTTAACAATTGTTTTGAATGATATCTAGTAAAGAGAATATTCTCAAAGCACCGAACACTAGAATATGTCCAAGGGTAACAATATCAGCATTTGATACTGGAACGATATAGGTCTCCAAACAATATCAGTGGATCAAATACAGTATACTACGGGACAGTAGATAGAACAGATAATATGGTAGTATAAATTATGGAACACGCAACATTTAAAAAATTGAAATCTATAATCAGAGAATAAAGCATGTTTATCTCATTTCACCCAAATAGGACTGAGAATGAAGCTCAAAATAGTAAAGTTTTCACTTGAAATTTCAATTTCCAGGTGAGAAATTGTGGGTGAACTTTGAACAAGGGGTAGTTTTTAAATCATTTTTTCTTCACTCTTTGCTTGGACCATTGAAGTTATAAAGATGTATTGAAGTACTAAGAAGCTAGAATAGTGTTGTCAAAGAACGATTTAAGGCGGCCTAAAACTTGCAGCTTGCTACTTTAGGATTTAAAATGTGGAAGTAGGGGTTTTAGACTTTATAGAAAGGAAAGTGTTAAAATGGGTTGGATTTCAATTTGATAAATTGCTGGGATTTCTAGATAACAATTAGTTACAAGTTTGTGTTAAATTGAGGGGCCAGACAGTAGAAGATAATTTGTTTCGTAGAAAACGGAACTGGGTTACAAAAGGTAAAGAAAAAAAAAGGCCAAATGTGATTAAAGCTATATAATTTTGCGCTGCATGAATTAAGAAGAAGAAAAATAGTGTTCTACATAGCGCTAGAGGTGAATTTCAGGATAGGTTGAAAAAAACATTGTTGAAGTGACAAAACAGAAGTTTTCTGCTGATAAGCTAATGGCCTGGCATTCATGATGTCAATATTGGAATCGGTACCACATACCTTGTCACAACAAGAAAATAACTTCTGACAAAAATTTATAATCCATTGACTTTAAGGAACTTGAAAACAGATAAAGAGAAACCAAAGGAGGATAATGAATTCACCGAATAGAACGTCTCTTTCTTTATGGTTGAAGAAGTTTAAAATAATGCTTGCACATTTAATTAAACGCAGAAAATCTATCTTTAGAATATCTGTTTGCATTTTAAATCAAGGAATTTTTTTTCCTATTTTCTTCATTAAATCCATGTCAAAACAATTTGTTGTGCTGCTTGAACAAAACCTAATACATCAAGTAGACGAGAATTAATTCAGGTTTCAGTCTTATGTTCAAAGGAACCCTTGCCTAAAATAATACTACTCTTTTAACTTTTGACTGAAAGGTTGAGATCTAAACCCACTTCTGATTTTCATAAAGAATAAACATAATCAAAGAACAGACATGGCATCCAAAAAGAAGTGATGGGTGAAGAGTGTAATTCTTATCCTGTAGCAGAAAAAATAGTAATTCTCAAACTCTTACGAGTTCTCATAGCTGTGATAGTTGTGCGTTGACTGATGGGAAAATAACAGGACATTTACAAGTCAAGGATTTGGATACGAGGATATCTCTCTTACCCAAACAGAAAATACTAAGAAATTAAAAAAAAAAAAAAAAATACTTGCATGAAATGTATAAGGATTGCATTGTACTAAACTTAACTCACCAAAATTGTGGCTGGGTATATGAATCCTATTTTTCCATTGGTTTAAGGTCAAAGCCTAAAAGTATGACATTGTAACTAAATAAATTAATTATTAACCAGTAAAAATTGAATTGTTTTCAAATATAATTTAACTTGCATATAAAAAATGAAAAAAATAAACGTTTTGTATGTAATTGTGGATTTGCGGATTAACATCATTAAATTTCCAAATGTGGCCAAATAATTGGAACTTAATAACTGGAAGAACCTAATTAAATGGACAATTGGACAGATCAAAGTCTAGTCAACTTAAGAATGTATGACTCTCCCCAACACAAAGCATACATACACCACTAAATTAAGACATTTTAACGCGCACCCACCCACAATATTGCCCCTAGCAGGGCTCGAACACTCAACAGGAGGATCATACCATCTAGGCACTACCCATTGTTAAATTAAGCATTGGACAATACTTTTTTGAGTACCAGAGAGATAAACTTCATCGTATCAATTCTAATTATGGTAAACACTATAAAATCAAATTTGATAAGCGTCATTTATAAATCCATTTCTAGAATTGTTGAACAATAACTAGAAATATATTTTCTTGGTATGGTATTTATTAATTATTACTTATCCTCCCCCCCTCCTCTTTTCCCGACACACATTGGTAAAATCACACGAGCAATTAAAGGAATGCCTCAAAGCAATAGTGATCCAAATAACTTCATGCATGCAAACAACAGTATGAGCTCAGAAATTACCACTATATGTGCTTCTAGGATTCGCATATGGCTGCAAGGACTCTAAAGGCCTCACATTTTTCCACAACTTTCTATCTCCAGTGGCCTATACCAATTCAAAGAAGACAAAAGTAATCTAAGCAAATGTAAATTATATTCAATCTAGAATAAAAAGTAGTATAGGAACAAAAGAAATAGAAATATAGACAAATAATGCCACGCATTACCTTGCTACCAATGTTTATATTTATATCCTCATTAAAACTATTGATTGGTACTAGATCAGCATTTGAATACTTGGCGAGAAGTAAGTGAACCACCAAAGAAACAAAAGACAAAACCAGTCCTCCAAGTGCAGCCCATTTTATTTTGGATTTGAACAACATCTTAGCTTACACCAAGACATTCCATGAAAACTGCACACATAGCTACCCCTGCATTAAGAAATGGATTCACTGCCAAGTGACAGCATAAACCTGAAAATGCAACAGCAATATGATGAAATGGGATAAACAACTGACTCCAAGAAAAATCATCTTCCTCCAAAGCAAATCTCATGAGTTCATTAAAGCAATATATGCATCACTTAATAACATTCCAGTTGTTGATCGCCTAGTAACAGTCAAAAGCAAAAATTCTTGCAAAATTAAATTTAGATGTGCAATATTTGGAAGAAAAAAAAAGAAAGAGAGAGGACCAAAGAACACAACACTTATTATTCAATTTGAGCATTGAATTAACAGCAAATAATATACATGACCATGGTGATTATAACCGGGAACAAAAAATAAAAATAATAATAATAATAAGAAGAAGAAGAAGAAGAAGAAGAAGAAGAAGAAGAAGAGACATCCAAAATATTTGAGAACAAAATATTAGCTACTCTATTTAAGCATAATAATTAAGATCATGTAGAATCATACATTTAAGCACGCATTTTACATAAATTTGAACTTCTCACTGCATGCGCTCTGAGAGATATCTGACCACATACATAGTTACTGAAGAAACAGCACATTTCCCTCCCCTAGAAAAACAAAGACTGCCACTAACACATAATCATTTCACTGAGTACTATTTACACAAAAATACATTTTCCCATTGGCAATAAATTTTTAGTTCTACACGAAATTTAGACGCACAACTCAAACTCATATCACGTTGAAGACCCAATATCCACTAGGAAATTGAGTGTCTGCATGCTTTAGCGTGAGAAAAAATCAGAGCTGTTTGGAGCAAGACCATCACTCGAGGAATTTTCCAATAAAGATCCTAGTCTCATACACATCCTCATTCTTTGTGCAATGCCCACCTAAATCTATGAGATCCAATATAAAGAAACGACTCTCGTTCCATTCCATCAGATCCGACATTAGGCATCCAAACATCATAGAAGCGTCTACTGGTTAGTGCTTCTCTCCAAGATCTCAACAAAGATAATAACTCTAAACTCATTGAATAAAATATTCAAAAATAGGCATCTAACATCTACATAGGAAAACATAGATTGCCTCATGATATATAACACAAATAACAAAAAGAATTTATAAGTCGGATCAATACCAATTTACTATAACAATTGAAGCCAAATAGAGTAATATACAGTCATGAACTTAGGGTTCTTGGTTATACCGTCAATTTCTCAGAAATAGAGATGCCAGTGGGAGAGAGAGTGTAGAAAGAGAAGTGAACGCGTCTTGGAGAGAGTTTGAAGTCTTTTTCAAGCAAGCAATATAACGTGTTTGACAATATATTATATAATTATATATAAATACATTACATATACCAAAGAAATGAAATATAATTATATATCTATCTATATATATATAAGATGTACGTGTATATCGATAGAGAGAGAAAGGCGGATTGGGAATCAGATCTTACCTATTACAGGTGCGGAGCCAGCAGCTCAAAGAGAGCTGTAATCAGATCTCCAGGCAATTTGTTGTGTGGAGTTTGGGGATGGTAGTGAAAGGGCAATAGTGAGTGAGATCCTCTCTCTCTCTTTTCTCTCTCCTCCGTGTAGGTTGCTTCGGACTGCCAGCAGGCCGAGGCGGGGTTGTAGAACTTGCGTCTAGAAGCTAAGCACATGAATTTTAAATGACTGATGATCAAATGGACTCGACTTCATGTGGGATTGCGATGATTTGGAGGGAAATCAAGTGGGGGATGGAAAACCCCTCCAGTCGTTCTCAGAAGGAAATCACCATTTTGTTTGGTTGTGGGTTTTAGGGATAGGAAACGAGTGTTTATCCATTAAAATGGGAAAATGAAATAAATTAAAAGTGATATTCTTTTAAATTTTTTAGGGGAGTTAAAAAAAAAAAAAAATGAAGGAAAAACAAGGATCAATCACAACAATATCAGAAAGAAAGAAAGAAAGAAAAAAAAATATTACTTCTAAAAATATAAGATTATCATGAAATCAATGAATCGATGGTTTTATTTTTTTAAAAGTAAAAATTCTAAGCATTTTCCGAAAAAATAAATAAATAAATAGACCAAACAAATATTTTTTAACTGAATTTATTGTTAATTCCCTTTATGGCATTGATCAATTTTGTCAACTCACTTTAAGGATCGAAAAAAAAAATAAATAAATAAATAAATAAATAAAAAACCTCACTTTAAAGAGTATATAATTTATGCAGAATTTAGTAGATGCCATGAAACAAACAAATAAACATAATGTCAAGATTAAGCATGTGAGAGAAGAGGCAATTGGGAGTGCATGGTGAATATAGCTTGAAGGTTAAAAGTGCTTGCGAATTTTTGTTACGAATAAATGAATCCTTCATTTGTAAGCTTTTAAGCGGAGACCATTTCTATAATTTTTTAGGTTGAAACAATATATATATTCTTCCAAGTCCTGAGCATATATAGGTTAGTCAATAAACAATTTCTGCCTTTGTGTTCTAAGCATATTCAAATTTCAAATTAATGACTCTGCATGTTATAGTTGTAATTTTCTTTATATATCAATCTATTTGAATTTGTTTATGCTGATTTGGTTATTTACTAGATATATTATCTTTTGCATTTAAATTGTTTCTCTCTTTAAAATATTCTTTAGGATGGTCATTAGAGATTTTTATTCCTTTATTTAAATATGAAAACTGGTTATATATGTATATATATAGATATAAGGATATATTTTGGCATTCCCCAATATTTCAAAATGCTGATGCTTTTGTTGCACATAAATGAAAAGAGTGCAAGTAGAAATGAAATGGAATGGTCATTATGAAATGTGTAATAATAGAATAATAATAATCATTCTAGTGTTTGATTGAACTAATTTTAAATTTACAATAAAATAAATTTCAAATTGAATTATTCAAAATACCCCTCTTAGTAAAAAAATAAATAAAATTAACAAAATGACATTATTCTGTATAATTTTTTAAAAATAAATGGTGGCAGTGGTGGTAGCGGTGGTGATGATGAAAAGCAGTAATAAGGTGGTGGTATTAGAAAGCGACGACAGTAGTGTGGTGGTGATGGTGGTGGAAGGAGATATTGGTATAGGTGGCAATTGTGGAAGCCAATGGAAGTGATTATGGTGGCGGTGGAAGGTAGTGGTAGTGGCGATGGCGATGATGGTAGAGGGTAATTTTTGGACTTAGAACACGGGGTGTTTCGGAAAGTTAAATTTTTTAAAAAAAAATTACTTGGGAATGAAATATGAAATGTTATTTTCATTAGTTTAATTATGGAATTGATTTTAATTTCAATGGAATGATACATTTTAAATTGCATACCAAATAAAAGAATAGTTAGAACGTCTTGCATTTAATTGGGCGTATTGAATTAAGAATTGTATAAAATTTGCTTTTAGATTGATCATTTATGTCCAAAAGGGCAAGAATAAAATTTGCTTTTAGATTGATCATTTATGTCCAAAAGGGCAAACACGATATAATTTTATTTTATTTTTCAAATTTATATCACATCTAAAATAATAATAAAAAAGGAATCCATTTTCCCTTCAAATCCAATTTGTCTCAAAGAATTTCATTTCAATTCTAAATTATGTTTGGCGGTATTGAATTGGCGCATTTAATTTAGAATCGAAGAACGATTAGTTCAAATCCAAAGCACTGATCCAAAACATAACATAATTATTATTTTTAAATCCAAAACCTTTTTTTAATTTGACTCAAAAAACCACTATTTAACTACTAGAGAGTAGAAAACAATTGAAATAACTATTAAATTGTTTTACCTAAATTTCTTAACAAGTAAATGGTTGCCGATCAGTTAAGGAAAAGGAGCCTTGGATTTATTAAACAGTTGAGATTTCAAATAAAACGGTTGAGATTTAAGTCAAGACATGATATGTGAATGTTATTTATAGGAAAAAATAAAATATAAAAAAAAAAACAAAAAACAACAAGCGTTGGATTTATTATTTGTAGCCATTAAAGAGGTGGTTTGGGGCTTGGTATTGATGGTGTGATCGTGCGGACCTTCGTGAACCGGCTGGCGTGTGACCTAAAAACAAGGCTTAAAAGGCCATAAACTCTCATTTCAAAAAAAAAAAAAAAAAGTTTGAGAAAATTACTTTCAGGTCATGAATTGAATCTCTTGATTTTCCACTTTTAAAATTTAATAAATCCACTTTTAAAATTTTTTATTTTCATCTTTAACGGGAATATCGCTTTCAAGTCTTGCTTTCATTTTTAAAAAAATCAATCAACTATAGCAAATTTATTAATCAAGACAAAAAAAAACTTATACACCTACTTTATAAACTAGTAAATACACAAAATTAATTGAAATCAGTAACATTGAACGAGTTTGATTTTTATTTTTTTTTTAATTTTTTTTTTTTAAAGATCTAAAAATAATATGTAACAGTTGTGTATGTATGAAATAAAATTTTCGATCAGCTATGATTTATCAATTTATATACACACCTAGGTATTATAAAAAAAAAATAGAGCACTTTGTATGGATTTCAAATTATCAATAAGTTATATATATGAAAATAATTTTAAACACTTTGTACTTTTAATAATAGTATATATATAGGTTAATGGAGCTCTTGATGTTGGCCACCCAATTTTCAATGACATTAACACATCTTATTTAATATTGTTGTTCATTTAAGTTCTAAATAACTAAATCTTTCATTTACATATTTTATGAAATCATAAATAATTTTTTTTTTTTTAATTATAGTTTCTCTCCAAATAATTGATATCTATTTTTTTTAAAACTTTTAACTAGCCAATTTTAAAATAATTATTTACAATTAAACTTTCTCATTTCTTAAATTTCAACTGCTAAATGATCAGTCTTTTCTTAAAAGTAAAAATATATATATATATATGTTAAAAAGACTAAGAGTTGTAATATAGTGGTATCTTCTTTTCTGCATTAAATCCCCATTCAAACATTTAGGTATTCAACGAAGCTACTACCATTTATTTCCAACCAATTTCAAAGATAACCAAAACGTTATTAATTAAAAATAGTAACACTTGTAAAATCCTCATCTCATGACACAAAGTCGTGAACAAGTTATATGTATTAAAGAGAGCTCACCACTATTATCACTTAAGAAGTATGAAAAGTTCTCTGAAGGTGTCGTGGTATCGAATACTCGGACACTTCTCAAATGATACGGCTCGAATACTTGTCATGAATAGTGAATACATTTTTCCTGATCGGATATGGCAATGATACGTTTTGGAATTTAGACACCCTCGGAATACGACAGGGCGATTTTGTAATTTTTTTTTTAAATAAAAATAAAATTGAATGCAATTTATTAATCAAAATATATATAAATTTTAGCAAATAAAAATAACACACACCTTGCTCTAAACTTCAAATTATTGATTTCTTTATGATTATATGGATAAAATGGCAAAAAAATAAATTATTTATATACATAATAATTATATTATATTTTAAAATTTTAATATATTCATGTTGTACCCGTATCATAATTTTTTAAAAAAATTTATCGTACCGATGTGCTCGTATCATTTTGTACCCATGTCCCATATTCATATATGTGCTTTCCAGACTATCATAAAGGATAATGAATCATCTCTAATACTTGGTTTTTTTAAAATAAAAAAAAAATCAGTATTTTTATTTTGATTAAGCTGTGTAAGATGTTTCTGAAAAACTAAGTACCGGAGAAAATTCAGACTCTGATTTTTAAAATTAAATTAATAATAATATATTAAAAAAAATTTCAATTAAACTAAATCAGAACTCACACAATAAATTATGTGCACGGGTTCTGTATTCACCACCCAATAAGTGAAATACATATTTTAATACAAATCTCAATTCAGAATCATCCAGAGAGGTCGTTAACAACTATTTTCTCTCATATTCCCTCCATCCAAACAAGGGCCTCAAATGAAAGAAAGGATGTCCAGTTAGAGGAGGAGGATGATGGAAAATAGGACGCTGCTTCTTCTCCATTTCCTTGATTTCCAAACAAGAAAACCAAAAGTCAGTCTCTCACTCTCCCCCTCCTTTTAGATGGTCCCCACAAATACAATAATTACCTTAAATACCTCTTTCCATTTTAAAAAGGTTGCAAAATACCTTCTCTTTTATTTATTTATTTTTTTTTTTTTGAGAAACACACTCCCACAATTTACCAACCATATCAAATTAGTCTGATTTGACTAACTGAAGACTAACTGTAGTTAAGATATGATGTAAAATTATACAAAAATTCATAGAAATACAATTTAAATAAATAACTTAAAATAAATAATTAATTAATTAAAGCAACAAATGTCTCGTACCAATTCACGGCCAAAAATCAGTACTTAATTCCCAATTACCAATTAATGCAATGACACCGTTGAGATCAAAATAATTCACTACATCTTATTTTAATTCATACAATTTACGTGATCAAGCAAGATTAGGGCAGACTCACTAGAAATTTCCATACTATAGATCCTCATAGATCATTTTCTTTTTTAAATTAACTTGATTTATCATCACTCGTGGTCTAAAATATTTCTCTGAACAGCAACCCCTTTAGACTAAAAAAAGAATGAATCCAAATTCTTTTAATTTTGAAGTCATCACAGGGACAAAATTTATAGCACAATAACCTCTTTAACGTTGCCTCTGAGGCATGGCATGACGACCCACAAAAGAAAATTCAATAACAACGAATCCCCCATAAAAAAAAATTCTTATAAATACTTACTCC